TTACCAGGACCAGGAAAAAGTGAGACTCATAGAACCCAGGGTTCTGGGGTCACTCACATGCAGGGCCTTGCAAATGCAGGGCTGGGCCTCTCATCATCCATGAGGAAGACTTCCATGAGCTTTCTTAAATTTTATGCCTTACATATCTCTTTTGACTTATCCTTACCTAGTCCCTGCTCTTCCTCTTGTCCTAATTTTGCAATATGTAAAGTGGCAATAAACTTCCCTGATAAGAGACATTGTAAAGATTCAAAAAATAACTGAAGTAAGAGATACAGTAAGGCAGTAAATGACTGCCATTGTTTCTCTGATTGGACAATAAGCTCCCAAGGTGCTGGTCTTCATTTCCAATTCATGTTAAATCCATAAAAACCATAAATTGTCAAAATGTGGGAAGCAGCCAAGATGCCCTTCAGTAGATGAATGGATAAAAAAACTGTGGTACGCCCAATTTAGTGGACTATTAGTGGACTATTATTTGACACTAAACAGAAATGAACTGTCACAAGAAGACATGGAAGGAAGATAAATACAAGTAACTAAATGAAAGAAGCCAAACTAAAAAAAAAAGCTGCAGACTGGATCATTCTAACTTTATGATACTTTTATGGGGAAAATACTTTGGAGAGATTAAAGATGCTCAAGAGTCGGAGGGAAAGAGGGATGGGTAGAGAGAACACAAGATTTTTGTCAATAAAACTTCCCTGAATGATTCTCCAGTGTTGGAGATATGCTATGATTCATTAGAAGGTACGACACCCAAAGTGTACCCTCAGGTAAGCGAGGGACTTTGAGTGACAGGGATTTTTTTTTTTTTGGCAGAACTGGGGATTGAACTCAGGCCCTTGCACTTGCCAGGCAAGCGCTTATTCTACTGAGTTATCTCCCTATGCGCCTGGGATTTTTCAGAGTAGGTAGCATGAGTGTAACAAATGTAACAAATTCTTCCAGGGATATTTTGATAATGGAAGAGGCCAGGAAGGTTTAGGGGCAGGGAATATTGGAAACTTTCACCTCAATTTCACAGAAACAAAATTAAAACTGCTCTTTAAAAAAACAAACAAGGGGCTGGAGAGATGGCTCAGTGGTCTAAAGCACCTACTTAGAACAAGCTTAGCAAAAGCATCAGGGACCGCGGTTCAATCCCCCAGCACC